AACTTTAGAACACTTAAAAATGTACTTGTTATTAGAATTCAAATAGTATTAGTATCAACTAAGGTCAATTGGAAAGAAGTATGTCTCTTAGTACTAACTAAAAAAAAAAAAAGTTAGCCATTCAATTCTTTGCTAACTGAAATTGTGTTAACTTTTCTTATTCTTCTCCCTTATGAATGGAATTCAGCCAGGGAGATAGGAGCAGTGATATCACAGGCATGAAATTGAGATGGTTTTGGATAGGAGGTGAGGAGGTCTGCAGGCAGTCTGCCGGCTGACTACTCCTGAGAAATGACAGACCCCTCCAGAGAAATGAGACTCTGGTTTCTGGATTTGTTTAAATGTGTAGTCCATTTGGAGAATCTGAATGGTCATTTGGCGAGCACTGGGAGATCGAGGTATGGCACAATAAACATTCCAGTGGGGAACTAGTGTGCAAATTTATGTGGGAAATTATTCTGCCAGAGCCTATGAGCGCTCTGTTTTTCCAACTTGGTCACCAGCTCTTTCTTATAATAGTTGAAACCTCTAGTCTAGACCTAAAGACAGCAGAATCCTCATTTTTCCTTCCTCTCCGTTTCGTTAGCGAGCTCTGGTGAATTCCAGCTCTCCTGCCACTGCAGAGACCTGTAGAGTACAGAAGCAGCACCTCAATTAAACATGAAATATCAAGATAAATGTCTGAATAAAATATCCAGGACTCAGACAAACTTCCAAAAGCTGCTTGTCAGCAGTGAAATGCCATTAAATCCTTCAGGAACTCATTAATAGATTAACATTTGGAAGAGTAATTACAGCTACATTAGAACTAAGAATAAAGAAAAATAAAGGAAAATCCAGCAGCATCATTTCTCTAAACTCTTGACACAAAACGAAGATCAATACTATAAAAAAATCAGAGGTAAGGAATTAAGGTCAAGATGATTATGTCAAAAATATGTAAGCTGTTCATATATATTTCAAATAAAACTAGTGTGGATGCACCTGTTATGTAGTGTTTCAAATTATTTGTATGGAATGCTGCCCCACAGGGGATAGAACAGGGATACTGAGGTGAAATCAAGGATGTATCTGGAAACTGGATGAGTTGATGACTTCAGTGCCGTTAACCTAAATCACAACTAAAATTAACAGTGTCAAGCTTTGTAGCTACATTTTCTGAGCCAAAGCAAGACGCTGATCTTCAGTGAGACAGAAATATATTACCCTTCAAAAGGATTAAATACTGCAAAAGTCTTTTTTGAGAATTTATGTTACAGTTCTGTAAAGGAAAGAGAAAAGATAAGATGAAGTAGGTGCTACAGTTAGATAAATAGGTGAGATCTTGAGAAATGTTTTCATTTTTCATAAAATTCTCACAATCTGTAAATTTTTTATATATAATTCATTACATTATAACCTGGAATATGAATCTTGCAAATTTATGAAATAGGAAGAAATTCAAATGGAGAAAATATGACTTTATTTAGAAAGGCTTCTCTGTTACTGTGAGTATACCTACCATAGAACCAGACTCCACAGCAGTGTGCCGGTGGGAACTGAGCTATTTTTAAGAGGGGAAAAAAGAAATATATGAAAAATGACAAGGTTGTAAAATACATAGATGACAAATAAAATGAAGTCATCAATGTGTAAAAAAAAAAAAAAAGTTAAGGTTTTAGGTTTGCAATTTTCCTATTTAAATGCCCTCATTGATTTGTTACAAATACTGTTAACCCTGTGTTTGGAAAATGGTGAGGACATTATCACTTGTGTTCTCATTTGTAATAAAATAGATTAACTTGCTGTGAAATTTTAACTAGGCTGAGACACAACAGTAGCTACCTAATGAACCAGAGCACATTGCTGTTAAGTAGCTAAATAGATGCATACTGATTACAGGACTGAAAAATGGATCTGTTTACTTGCAAAAAAAGACTCTGTTCATAGTGTTATTCATTATAGTAGGGGAAATTCAGCATCACATTTCCACACAAACAATTCGAAATACACAATTTCTCAATCCATATGCAGTCTTAAATGATGATACTCTATCCTCATTTGTAGTACATATGATACAGAGAAAATTTCAGCTTCTTTGTCGCTTATAGGGGAAAGTGTATCTTCCCTGTCTATATAAATTTTTGTAACTGGTAAGATGTTAGATGACATAATCAACTAATTCTCTTAGAAAGTGATTCACTCTATGATTAAGAATGACATTATTATTTGACACTTTTATTTCTGCCTGAACATTTCAAATCAAGACCCTGAGTTTGAAGGCAAATTACTTGAGCAAAGATTATTTTACAGCAAGAGACAATGGGAAATGCAGTTACCAGAAGGAGCTCAAATACTTTGCTTTTCCAAATCATCAGCTTTTGAATTACTCCGATAACTCCCATTTAAGATGACATATATGGCTGTTTGTGTGATATCTAAGTGTTAATTCATAGTCATATTTGTTCATAGTTTTTTTTGCAGAACAGTTGGCATGTCCTCTCCTTGGCTATTCATTTTCATGGTTGCAATAGACAATGAAATTTACTTAAACTATGTACTCTTCTGTAAAATTAATCATTTCAAAATGATATCTTAATTGTAAATTGAGTCCTCTTTGTGGTAAAAAGAGAGGAAATACTGCCAAAGAGGACTGTTAAAACTGAAATTCAGGCAAATTAAATTACAGTCAGAGTTGTATCCCGTTAGCAGTAACCTATTTGGAAGCTATTATTTACACAAAGGTAAAAGACAAGTAGTATGTATAAGCTCAGGATTGCATGTATATGATTCATCATTTATTTAGGAGAATACTTCTTGGGGTAAGAATGTGACTTTTAAAAATAACTGAATAAGCAACCCATCCACAAAGTTAGTCATGACTCTCTTTTACTCTTCCGTTCATCTCAGGAACCTCTAAAACCACTCTTTTGGAGGCTGAGAAGAAGAAAACACAAGAGACTCTTAAGATCAGTGACTTGGACTTTTTTCCCCCCAAATTTGAAAATTTGTTTGTTGGAAACCATTCAGTTTTCAAAATTTTAAGAACTTGTGACTCATCATAATAGATTCATATCTGTTAAAACTTAATAAACATTTTTAATTGGCATTCAAAAATACTGCAATTAAAAGTCTCCCTTTAAGATTTATTAGTTATTGTATGTTCATTAAATAACAGATAATTAGTGAAAACAGATCCATTGAGAATTAACAGCTATGTAATAGATACACATCTGTTACATGATTTTGAGGCTCAGTTGTTATTTAATGTACAATAACTATCTTATTAAAAACACATTCAACGCTACGTTTTCAGCTGCTATGATTAGAATAGGCAAATGCCACCCCTTGGTATTAGGAGGGTCCAATCCGACATTCCCTTTCCATCATTCTCGAATGTATCTGTTAAATATGAGGATGAGTGTGGTTTAGAGAGCTGGTTTTAATGGCTAACAGAATATTCTTAAAATGTCGATCTTACTGCCAGTGTTATTAATGAATTGTCTCAGTAGGTTATGAACAGAAGCTATTATGCCAGGTATTTATAACGGAAAAACTATTAGAATCTACCATTCTCTTCCTAAAGCTATATTATTGATTTAGGATACTGTCTAGCAAAAACTGCATAAAAAGTTCAGATGCTATCGAGTTTATTTTCAAAAGCACACGGTAAATTGCCACCAAGTAGCCAGATTGCATACTGCTAATGAGAAATCTTTGAGAATAGGTTAGAAAGGCAGAAAAATTGCCAAGTTCCTTTGAGACAACTTCCCCAGATTAGACTGTAATTGTGATTTTTTAATGAGGTGGGGGCAAGAGGATCTCCCTTTTAAGAAAAAAAAGTTATATTTTACTTCTGAATTTGCACAGGGAACAGCTGATTGCCAGGGATGAGGGCAACTCCAAACATGCAGTTTCTGGAATTCTGTAAATTGAAGCATCTCCTTGTTAGTGTGTCTCCATTGGAACTGCAATTTCAAGGACTTGTAATAGAGGACATAGAAAGGATTTTAAGATAAGAATATCTAGAGTATCTCAGGCCATGATCTGTCCCTTTTAATAGATTCTCATTTTTTGTTGGTCCTGGGAACAGGAATGAAGGGTACTGGAATTTTGAATTAATTCAGAAAAATTATACACATGGAATCACTGGGTTGGAAGGGATCTCAAGTGGTCATATAATCTCTTGCCTTCCTCAGCACGGGATGAATTGTTACTTATGTCACGTGTGTCTAACCTGTTCCTAAAGATTTTTACTGATGAAAATTCCATGGCATCTTCAGGCTATCTGCAAGAACAGATACACAGTACTGCAGAATTTCATTATGCTAAATTTTTATATTTTCTTATCCTTTTTTTTTCTCCTTACCTAAAGTACTATGTATATTTAAATTGGAGGTTAATATCAAAGTTTTGTGTGCAAATGTACATATAAGAATTTGCAAGCACATTTTTATTTTTGTTAGCCAGTGGTGCTTTTCATGCAAAAGTGAAGTTCTTACCAGTGCCACAGCTTTTAAAATTTGTCTGGGCACTAACCTGAGAAGATATTGATGTCATTTATTCAGGTGCTGATTATGGTGAGTTTAAAAGCTTGACTGCATTTAGTGACAGTTTAGTTCAAATCTGCATTGTTTATTTTAAATGTGACTCAAATATGTCAATTTTACTATTTGTAGATTAAAAGTAGTTTGTGAGAACAACATGAAAGAACATTCTTTGTGTTCCTATGTGTAAAAAAGTTAGAAAGTAAAAAGTTACCAAGAAAATAAAAAGAGGTGGCAAATGCTATGTTATGGCAGAAAGGATGAAAGGCTATGCCCAGATGCATTGCATGTAAAAGGCTATACTCTTTTTGTCTGTACAAGACTATACTGCTCTTTCGAAGTGAATTTTGTTCACTATTTATCTCAGAAAGACCATTTGTTACTGCTATTTTGGCCGAGTTAATTTTTTTTCATTGAACTTCAGTGAAGTTCATGAATCAAATTGCACAGACCTTGTTTTCTTTCTGTTTCAAGGAAAGGATCCAAGACAGCCCTTCTCCAGCTCCATCTCTAGAAGACAGTCAGCGGCCTGGGAGCCATGCTTCCTCCCATCAGAGCAGCAGTGTGTCCAGTTCGCCGTCCCAGTTGGACAACACACCAGACAGAATTGGTTAGTGCTCTGCAGCCTCACACCCCTTCGCAGTTACTGACCTCAAGAATTTTAGAAGTTTGTTGAGGCAAAATTTTCTTTGCTGGGAAACTCAGGAAAACACTCACTTGCTAAAAAACCCCAGAAAGTTCATCACTATAATTTGTTTTATTAGGTTCATCACTAAGCAGAGCCCAGCCCCTCAGATTCATTCACGCACAGAAAATACCACCCCTTCTCTAGTACAACCAACTTCTCTTGCATGTTGGAGTAAGAAAGTGCCTCAGAAGGCACCTGGAATTGAAAAATAGCAAGATATCTTTTTCTTCGTATGTATGTCAGAAAAGCCACAGATTATATGATGGCTTTTCCATTCCAAAAACATCCTCATGCCCACACATTCCCTTGTCAGCTGAGGGCTTTTTGATTTTTTTGGTCTCTCCACCACAGCTTTCACAGCCTGTGCATTATCGATCTTGTGTTTAAAATGTTAATTCAGTCTAGAGGAAGTTTAGATCCTATTCTTGGTGCTTCCAAGAGGGATCTAGGGCAAGTCAATTAACATCTCTTCATGTCAGTGTATGTCAACACTGTTGTCTTCAGAGTGACTGGAGCCTATGCAGGTATTGCTGAGCTAGATTTAAACTACAAAAACAGTGCAGTCCCTGTAACTCGGTGTAGACTTCGCTCCCATCAAATAACTGCTCGGCTGCTTGCTGGGATTTTGCAGGCTTGACTCTGGTCCATGCAGCAGCACCACCATGGTACGACATAGCATGGTTAGCTATACGCAAACTAGTCAATGGAACCCAAACTACTTTGCCTAAATGTATGCACATACAGGGCGGAGACTAGAAAGCAGATTCCCCTTAGCTTTTTCATGTCTAAAGTAGGGCTAGGAATACACAGGACAAGAAATGTAACTTCCTATAGCAACAATGAAAAAGGGACTTTTGTCCTCACTATTGCTTTTGAAAGCTACTGTAACTGTTTTATTAACAGTAGTAGCACATACTGGAAGCCTCTGGGCTCCAGAGATGGTGCTGAAAGTTTTTTAAAGAAAAGTAGGGTTTATATATGTCAAACCAAATGTTTCTCTACGTTGAAGTCTAACACTTAATATTGTAAAGATACGTATATCTATATATAGATACTTACTTTTACAATTTATTTTTTTTAAAGAAAAAAGGTTTTCTCTAAAAAATGGTGATGAAGTTTTTAACAAGTGTCCTCGCTGGCATAACTTCAAATTCTATAATTGATTAATTGCAGAGAAGGAAATGTTTTCATCAAATAAGAACAACGAAAGTAGGCATCCTGAAATCATACACTTACCACCTCTCAATGATCTTGCAGGTGTAAAGTAAAGAATTTTTTTCAACACTACAACGTATTGTTTTTTTACTGTCATCTATCAATTTGGGTTACTATCTATCTGTATGTTTTTATTAAGCTTGCTGCTTTTATAGTTAATTACTAATACTTAAATCCTTGAATGTATTTTTCCCCAAAATGATTTCTGTGAAGTACTTTTCTAATTAGTCAATTTGAACATTTCATAAGAAATCACATTCATCTCAGCAGTAATTTGGGTTCTATCTTGGTATCTTTGTTTAATCAACTTGAGCAAATTTGCTTTTGCTGCATATTTTACTTGGCAATAAGTGCTGAACTGGGACAGTGAAATGGTTGATTATGGACAATAAAAATGGTCAATTGCTTTAGAACTTCTATAGTATAAATAAATGTTAAAATACCAAAATATTGACAGAAGAAATATAATTTAATATTTTCCTCTCTTCTGACATTTTTTAACTGACAGTGTTATATAGCTGTGCACTCTGATTTTTTTAGCTATGCTGACCAACAGCAGGGAAGGAGAACTCATTGATCAAGAAACTGGGACCAGCCTAAAAAAAATACAGAAGGAGAAAGGTAAAATTGCAGACTGTTTTCCATCTCAGGCATTTAATTACACTCATTACGTGTTTTATTCCTTTTTCTAGTATTCTGCATATGCAATGGCATAATATTATAAATTTAAGAGAGCTAAGTGCCTAATGGCAATGAATAATGTATCCAGTGAATTTACATGGCGTTCTCCTAAGGAAGCGTAAACAATCAGATCTTTGCTTCTCTCTGTTTATATAGTATGGGGCTAATATTTTGCCAGTCTTTTGACTCAATTATTTATGAAATTCCTAGCAAATATTTGATTAGTGACATGGTATTGTTTCTTTGCCTCCAGTGGATGTGTGTGCAGACTACTCTCATGCTGGTATGTAGGTGAGGGAAATAAGCCATTTTGTGTGTCTAATAATATTACATTACCTCACAAGTGAGAGGTTGAACAGAAATACGTTCATGTATGCAGGTGAGCCCTGGGGAGGTGTTGTAGTGACAGAGAGCATGTGGTGTCTGTGGCTGCACACTGAGGAAGAAAAAGCCATTCTGCTTCCTTGCAAATAGAACAAAAAAATAAATTGTATTAATAGGCGAGAGGTTTATTGTGGCAGTACGTACAGAAAGCACCACACAAAATGAGTGCCTGCACAAAAAAAAGAAGATGGGATATAGTTCAAGAAATAAAAGAAGGATGAAGGTAAGTGAATGCTGGAAAAATACTGCAAAGGAATATACTGTGGGAAATATTACAGTTTGAGTGAAAAAGATGCAAAAGAAGAGAAAGAGAAGGAAGTGACCAAAAGAGACAACGTGAGCTCAATGTGCTTATAAGTCTTCTGTAAATATGAACATTTTATCATAAATGAAAACACAAACTGATTTATATTTTGATTGAGGTGATTTGAATGTATTTTCTGAGAAAACTAAAGACAGGTATATACAATTTTATGAGCTACTCAAAAGAGAATTTAGAAGGTCCATGTGCTCTGTGGTTCCAGAGTTATATACAATTGCTTGAGCAGATTAGTGATTTTGTATGATCAGCTCTATTCCTTAGACATCTGTGACTGTTCCAGTCCTAGGTAGGAAGAGCCTGAAACTTCTGTGTTATGTTCTGTATTTTTGTACTCAACTCACTCTCTTCTTGAAAGCAGAAGCTGTTTTCTATTCACTGATTTCTCTAGGCATTTAAGCGCGTTCCTCACAAACCCCAAAAGAGCCCTTTTGTGCCATTCCGAGATAATTTTCTGTCTGGATCATCATGCTTAAATCCTTCCCTCCTGACTCCTGTTGGCATTTACGGACCAACACCAGAGGCTAAACAGTTACCAAACATACCTTCATTCCTCAGATTAAAAAATTACATTTCTGTAGTAATTACATAGGTATTTAATCTAAATCCAAAAGTGTAGTTGATTTTAATTTTGTTGAACTGTGCATGGTTTCTTGCCACATGTTTAGTCATTTTTCAGTGAAACAATTCAATATCCTATGGGGTTCTAAGATGCAAATCATGTAGTTATTGGAAGTAGCAGTCCTGTCACTCAGGACGGATGAAGGCAGGTACAGTTTAAGAATCAGAAAAGACAATTCAGAAATCCCAAAAAGCGTGAAAATTATTTAAACTCCGCCACCTGTGAACCCAATTCCCACGCTCCTGTGATCATTCACTGTTCCTTGTAACTTGTACAAAATCACAAAGATCTGATGCTGACATTTTGTGTACCATAATTCACCTTAAGATTAAAGTTGTGTAGGTTTATTAATTTCCTGGTCTACATTTTTGCGTAGTATTATTTATTTGCAATTGATTATGTACTGGGAAATACGTCTTTATACATGTGTTATTTCTGCATGCACTTACAGCATTTTTTTAGGATGAAGTTAGTGTTCAGAGATCCTCCTACATCAGAAAAAAGTGCTTCAAAATCATGAGAAATTTTAAATTACCATTTTAAAGATAGAGAAAGGTTTCTGCTTTTCTCCTTGGTCTGCACAGGTCAAATTTTTCTCTGAAAATATGAGAATGAGAAATGATGTCCTTTTGTCAAGTAGAGATGTAATTTTCGAGTAATGCCTGATCTCCAGAACCGAAACCTTTTGACAACATTATAATGGAACAAATGCTGAAATTTTAACGGCACTGACATTGTATATCCAACAATGCCAAGCAGATTTTGCATTTGGCAGTGTGACAGACCTATATTACAGTTCCTGGAGGAATCTCTCTTTTGTAGGATACAAGCACCCAGTAATTGATGGACTGCACCAGTAGGACGGAGTCAATACGCTGCTGCTGAAAATTCCCAGCATGTGTGTGCTGGCCCTTTCTGTCACCCCATGCAAGTGCTGTTATTCCTCAGTGATTTGTCTCACTCCCACGTAGATTATTTGTTCCTACTACTATGATTATCCTCTTGTATATAATTATTTTGGGCTCTCGTGCACCTTAAACATGTTGAATGTTTTTTGTAGTCAGATGTGGACAGTCACTGAAGAGTGTGGTCTCTGCTGGGTTGCTGAGCAAAAAATATATGTGTAATTTGTATACAGAACAAGCTTCTTTTTTTTTTCTTTTTTTTTTCAAAACCTACCATTACTTTTACTGAGGCAAAATATATTTACCATGGAAAAGATTTTCAAAGTTATTAAGAAGGAATGTAGTTAAAATAAAAGTATCAACATTTATTAAGTATGACAAGTAAGCGGTTTATACAGCCGTGGCAAACATATGTTTTCACATCTGTTTTGAGTAATATCATCATGATTTTAAAAATGATTTATAGCTCTGCAGGCCATAAAATGCCAGCTTTGCTGTAAGTTGGAAGTTTTCAAGCAACAAAGAAATTATTGAAGGCATATATTAAACATGTTTTTGTGTTATACACCTTGATACAACTTTACAAATCTGAGCACTCTGTAACAATTAAGATAGCAACAAATGAAAATTAAGTAACTAAAATTTAGCAGTAGCACTACTTATGTGAAATCTTAGCATAAAAACCAATAAAAGTTATTGTAATTATTATAGGCAAATACTGTGATATCCCTCAGGATACGCAATTTTTGTTTTCCATGTCCCATTTTAAGTGATCTCAGCACCAGACAAAAATGTGCCACTTTGTTCTCATCAAAGTAATTTCAAGGTAATTAGAGCTGAAGAGAATATAGCTTAGCAGTTTTTCTTTAAAAGATAGTTAATATGAGGTTGTTCCAATTATGCTGAGCTGTTTGCATATGTTGGTGGGGCAGAATTTACAGCATTAGCGGCTGCCTTAGCCCAGAGAGGTTAGAGCCCATACAGACCGTACCTTTAAGCTTTTTGAAGGAGAAATGCCATTAAATCACAATTGCTCCACATCCTTTCATCATTTTTTTAGGAAGTATGGTCAGGCTTCACATTGGAGGACAATAAAGTCAAACATCTTTATAGGTCTACAGTTGGGGGGTTTTAATACAAAATATGTTATTTTATTTTTGTCAAACGTCTTTAACCAGTACGGGGTGCAAGCATTTCGCCTGTGCATCCATGTCAGGGTGCAAGTGAAAACCATATGAATAGTAATCTGTACTTTATTTTGAAATCGCTAGTGAAAGGAAACAGAGTTAGAAAATAGCCCCAGATGATTACACAAACTTAAACACAAATTCTTCCTGATTGTGCTTACTTGCTATGTCTGGTCTTAAGTGGTTACTTTTTACCTGCACTATTGCTCACAGAAACTACATTTTAAATTCATCTGCTTTGGTGTATATCCTGGAAAAAAATCTCTGTTGTATGGGAAAGGATTGTGTTTGACATAGCACTGTATGGGCTTTATAGAAACCTCCATATGAATTCTGGCATTAAGAAGGTTAAACGAGCCAGAAAAGAATTTGGCTGTGCCTTCCAGTCAGATTTAAATGCCGGTACAATTATTCTGTTTGACTGCACGACAAGAAATATTTCAAACTCCTCATATAGGATGGAATAATAAAAGGAACCGGCCCAACTCTTGCCACAGAAATCAATGGGAATGTTCCTCATGTCTTCAGTGGGAACAGAGTTTGGCCAAAGCCTGGTATTTTGGAAGCTCGCTCCCCCCAGCTAACGCTACGGGTTGTTATTCCAGACAGGAGTGGTACACACTCAGGGGCTGTGCTGGTGCTGTTCCTCGTGGACTGGTGGCATGCCCTGAGCCTTGGGGAGAGCTGGGCACACGCCACCCCTGCCCCTCTGCTCTGATTTTAGCGAGGGGCAAGCAGGACGTGCGGGCCTCAGGGACCAGGACGTGCGGGCCTCAGGGACCACGGTGTGCTTTGGCCGGGTGTTCTCAGGGGTGTTTGGGGCACTGGAGCTGCACTCCACCCTACATCAATCAGAGTAAAATTTCCCAGGAAAATTTCGTAAATGACCAGTATCTTCAGACTTAACCATTGTTCAAACAGTCTTTGAGTCAAAATAAAGATTGTATTTGTTGAGCAAGTGATTTGCTCTGAATTTCCCAGAGCTGCTCGGTGGTGATGCTACCCTCGTTTAGCCCAATCGTCTGCGTCTTCAGAGCACAAGTCTGGACTCAAGGGCAACGTCTCATGTTTCCAGTAGACGGTAGTCTCCAAAACTGCATCTGGCATCTATCCCTTTTCATTTTATTAAGGAACACCTTTCCCTTTATTACTTCAAGGAAATGGGAATTTTGCATCATTTCTGTCAGCTTAGTGAAATATTTTCAGATGGCCAGAGACTACGGTAATGAAAGAATAACTATATTTATTTATTGTATTTCATTAGCGGAAAAGAGGTTTTATGCTGTTTAAATTAATCATTGCCAAAGGACTGGGTTACTCATGATGTGAGGGGAGGAGAATGAGCAGGTGCAGAACACCTGAAACAGCAACAGGCCTTGGTGGTGGGGGTGTCCTCCAGAGAGAGGACTTTTCAACAATTAATCTGAAAGCATCCAGATGGAGAGTGGAAGGAATGAGAAAGAGAACTAAGAGTATGAAGCTGTACCACGCAGCATATATACAAAGTGTACGATAGGTGCCAA